TTGAAAACCCGAAAAATTGCAAATCGAAATATTTGTTTCTTAAAAAAAATGAAGAAACGAAAATTTGAAAATATTGAAAATAAAAACAAAATAAAATTGAAAACCGAAACGAAATATTGCTGAACGAAAATTGAAAAATCTAAAAATTGGAAACTCCAAAAGTTGGAAAATTCAAAAACTGAAAACCTTAAACTTGAAAACCGAAAAATTGAAGAAACGAAAATTTGAAAAAAATTAATAAAATTGGAAACCGAAACGAAAAATTGCAGATCGAAAATCTGAAAAATATAAAAACTGAGACACTCAAGTTGGAAAATTCAAAAACTGGAGAGTTTAGACTCGAAAAATTGCAAATCGGAAAACTGATGAAACAGAATACATACATATTCCGGACCGAAAATTGAAAAATCTAAAAATTGAAAAATTCAAAGATTGGAAAATAAAAAAATTGAAAAATCTCAAAACTGAAAAGTCGAAAAATTGAAAATCCCAAAAATAGATTTCCTTTAAGTCGAAAAATCAAAATTTAAAAAGTTGAAAAATGAAAATATCACAAAACTGAAAAATATAGACATTCTCAAAATTGAAATGTTGAAAAATTGAGAAATCGAAAACTTGAAACAAAGAACGAAAAGTAAAAACATTTTAAAATCGAAAAAACGAAAAATCGAGATGTAAGAAATCGAAAATTCTAAAATCGAAAAATTGGAATACACGTTAAAAGGTTAAAATCGGGAGATCGAAGCATAACAAAACATAAAATCTAAAAAATTGAAAAATGGAAAAGCCGAGAAATCGAAATTAAAAAATTGAGACATCATAAGATCCGAGAAAAACCGGAAAATTTAAAACTGAAATTATTTAAACTTAAAAAAAAAACGATAAATCAAAATATTCAATATTCGAAAAATCAGAAATTTTAAAAATCGAAAGATCGAGAAATCGATGTATCAAAAAAGTGAAAAATTTTAAATTAAAAAATTGGAGATATTGAAAAATCCCAAAATTACAACAACGAAAACTTGAGAAATCGAAAAACTGAAAAATCGATAAATTGGAAAGAAGAAAAATCGAAAAATCAAAGAATTGATTAATAGAGAAATTGAGAACTGTAAAAATGATTTTTTTTTTAAATTGCAAAAATTGTAAAACTGAAATATCGAAAAATTAAGTAAACTAAAAATCGAGAAATCAAGAAATCGAAAAATTGTAATTCAATTTAGTTTTATTTTTCCACAAAAATTCCGATGTCGAAGATTAAACTTCAACACGGACTCATAAACCATAGGTACACTGTTACTTTTTTTTTAATTTATGTAACATTTATTTGACAAAATTGTAGAACTGAAGAAACGAAAAATAGAAACGTTGAAAAACTAGAAATCGAGAAAAAATTAATGAATCAAAGGACGAATTAAATCGAAAAATGTTCGTAAAGTCCAAAAACTAACATTCAAAGATCGAAAAATTAAAAAATTCCAAAAACGAAAAATTGAAAAAGTGAACAACTCTAATAAAAATTATAATTATTATTACATATCTAAAATGCAAATCAATCAAACAATTTTATTTATCCGGAAAGTAGAAAATTCGAAAAATTGAAAATTCGGAAAATTAAAAAATTGGAAAAAATTAAAAAAAACAAAAAATTGCAAAATCGATAAAACGGAAAATCGAATGGAATTTGTTTTTACGATTTTTTAACTTCGATTTTTAAAATTTTTTAATCTGTATTTCAATTTTTCGATGTTTGGAATTTTCTGTTTCTTATATCAAGGATTATCGATTTTTTTGAGTTTTTCGATTTTTCCGTTCATTTTTTTTTTTTAAGTAAATATTTCAATTTTGAATTTTCCGATTTCGGCCTATTTCGATTTCTCGATCTTTTGAAGTCTCAAGTTTTCGATTTCGATTTCTTGGTTTTTCAAAATTTTCGATTTTTCTAGTATATATTTTAAATTTTCGATTTTTTAAATTTTTCATTTTTCCCTCTTATAATCTTTATGTTTCGATTTCCCGATTTTAATTTTTTAATGTGTTTCAATTTTTCCATTTTTGGAATTTTCGATTTCTCATATCTCAATTTTCCAATTTTAAAAATTTTTCGATTTCTCGATTTTTAAGTTTCCACTATCTCAGTTTTAAACATCGCAATTTTGGGATTTTTTCAATTTCTATATTTTTCAGATTTTCGTTTTTTTCATTTTCCCGATTTTGTAATTTTCATTTTCTTGATTTCATATCACAATTTTTCATTTTTCCGTTACCTTTGTTTTTTCAATGTTTCCAATTTTTTTATTTTTCGAAGCTTTCATTTTGTACTTTATCAGTTTTTGTTAATTCGAAAAGTTAAAAACTCGAAAAAATTGAAACAATGAAAATCTAAAAACAATTAATGAATCGAAGAATGGGAAAGACGAAAAACCATTCGAATTGAAAAATTGGTAAATCCAAAAATTGTAAAATCGAAAAATTATAGAGTCTTGAAAATTGTAAAGTCCAAAAACTGTGACATTCAAACACCGAAAAATTGAAAAATTCCAAAAACGAAAAACTGAAAAAGTGAACAACTTTAAAAATTATAATTATTCGGAGTGTTACATAATTAAAATGAAAACTAGAAAAACTGCAAATGAAAAATTAAAAAAACGGAAAATTGAAAGCCGAACATTGAAAAAATAAAGAAAATTAAAAACCCACACGAAAAATTGACGAAAATAAAAACTGAAAACTCGTGAAATTTGCAAACTCTAAAATTTGAAACATCCAAAAGTTGGAAAATCAAAAACTGAAAAATTGAGAAATCGAAAATTTTCAAAAATCGAAAGATTGAAAAATCTAAATTTTGGAAAATCGAAAAACCGAGGAATTCAAACTGAAAAAAGATCGAGAATTCAAGATGTCGAAAAATCTAAATATCTAAAATTTAAAAAATAAAAAAATTACAATAACGAAAAATTGAGAAATGGAAAAATGAAAATTTAGAAAAACCAAAAATTGAAAAGCATAAAAAAAATTAAAATCGGGTATTCGGAACGTAAAAAAATAAAATTTAAAAATTTTAAATTTAAAAATTCGAAAACTTGAAAAACCGAAAAACTGAAGAAATGAAAAACTAAAAAATCGACAAATTGAAAAATCTCAAAACTGAAAAATCGAGAAATCGAAAATTTTCAAAACTGAAAAGTCGAAAGATTGAAAAATCGAAATTTTGGAAAATCGAAAAACCGAGGAAGTCAAACTGAAAAAAGATCGAGAATTCAAGATGTCGAAAAATCTAAAAATCTAAAATTTAAAAAGTAGAAAAATTACAATAACGAAAAATTTAACATTAAAAGAAACACAAAATCAAAAACTCGAAAAATCGAGAAATTGAGAAATGGAAAAATGAAAATTTAGAAAAACCAAAGATTGAAAAGCATAATAAAAATTAAAATCGGGAAATCGGAACGTTAAAAAAATAAAATCGAATAAAATTGAAAAATTTTAAATTTAAAAATTCGAAAAGTTGAAAAACCGAAAAACTGAAGAAATGAAAAACTAAAAAATCGACAAATTGAAAAATCTCAAAACTGAAAAGTCGAAAAATTGAAAATCCCAAAAATCGTTTTTCGGTAAGTCGAAAAATCAAAATTTAAAAAGTTGAAAAATGAAAATATTACAAAACTGAAAAATATAAACATTCTCAAAATTGAAATGTTGAAAAATTGAGAAATCGAAAACTTGAAACAAAGAACGAAAAGTAAAAACATTTTAAAATCGAAAAATTGGAATACACGTTGAAAAGGTTAAAATCAGGAGATCGAAGCATAACAAAACATAAAATCGAAAAATGGAGAATTTTAAAAATCTAAAAACTTGAAGAAATAAAAAATTGAGACATCATAAGATCCGAGAAATGGAGAAATCGAAAAACCGGAAAATTTAAAACTGAAATACGTAAGTATTTAAACTTAAAAAAAAAACGATAAATCAAAATATTCAAAATTCGAAAAATCAGAAATTTTAAAAATCGAAAGATCGAGAAATCGATATATCAAAAAAGTGAAAAATTTTAAATTAAAAAATTGGAGATATTGAAAAATCCCAAAATTACAACAACGAAAACTTGAGAAATCGAAAAACTGAAAAATCGATAAATTGGAAAGAGGAAAAATCGAAAAATCAAAGAATTGATTAATAGAGAAATTGAGAAATGTAAAAATGATTTTTTTTTAAATTGCAAAAATTGTAAAACTGAAATATCGAAAAATTAAGTAAACTAAAAATCGAGAAATCAAGAAATCGAAAAATTGTAATTCAATTTTGTTTTATTTTTCCACAAAAATTTCGATGTCGAAGATAAAAATTCAACACGGATTCATAGACCATAGGTACACTGTTAATTCTTTTTTAATTTATATAACATTTATTTGACAAAATTGTAGAACTGAAGAAACGAAAAATAGAAACATTGAAAAACTAGAAATCGAGAAAAAATTAATGAATCAAAGAACGAATTAAATCGAAAAATGTTCGTAAAGTCCAAAAACTAACATTCAAAGATCGAAAAATTAAAAAATTCCAAAAACGAAAAATTGAAAAAGTGAACAACTCTAATAAAAATTATAATTATTATTACATATCTAAAATGAAAATTAAAAAACCTGCAAATCAAAAATTGAAGAAACGAAAAATTGAAAACAAAAAAAATTGAAAAATCCAAAAACTGAAAAAATTCAAGTCCAGGTAAAATGCATACGATACGGTACGGCTAACTAACAAGTATTTGTCATCCCGACAAGGCCGGCATTTGAACAAAATATGCATTAAAACTCATATTCGTCGAAAAAAGCATTAACTAAGGTAGCTCCTTCACGTAAGTGTCAAATGTAAAAGTTAAAAATGACAGTCAAATATTTTCGTTAGAAACACCTAAAGGTTGCTTTACACTATCTGACGACTGAATGACATTGACGTCTGAAATTTTTTGGCGGCAACTGTATATGTATTTTTTTCAGACGTTGCAATGCCACAACAAAGGCATAAGCGACTTCGTTTTCCTGGGGTCCTGCAGTCTGCTGGCCACTGGTGAGTCCCCAAACTCTGTCGTTCCAAAACTCAGTTGTCTTTTCAGCTGGACACAGCTCCGAGAGCAAGAACGTGTGCATCTGGGACTCGATTTTGCCCCATGGGAAGGCCTTGGTGGTGGCATTCACGTGCCACGACCAGGGTGCCAGCAGCTTAGTCTTCGCACCACAGCACCAGCTGCTGATTTCTGCTGGAAAACGCGGCGACGTGTGTCTGGTGGACGTCCGGTCCAAGACGGTCCGACACAAATTCACGGCCCATGAAAGCGCCGTCAAGTGCATAGCGATTGACCCCCACGAGGAGTACTTCGCTACGGGGTCGGCCGACGGCGATATCAAGGTACTACGATTGATGGTACTAAATAGCAATGAAAAATTCATTCGTTGTAGATCTGGGCCATTGCTCTCCCCAACATCCTGCTGTCGCTCCCGACCGAGCACGCCAGGAGCAGCTTCTTCAAGAACATAGGGCAGGGAGTGACTCAGCTCCACATCGACTCGCACGCTCGGTTGTTCTCGTGCGGGGCCGACGGGAGTATGAAGGTCCGCCAGCTGCCGGATCGGGAGACCTTGCTGGGTCAGCACCACAACCACCATTAATCGTTTGCCTAATTACAAGATGTAGCGCTTTTTAGGTTGATCTAGCATTCTGATTACTTTAACTGATATTTTTATAGCTTGTTAATGACTGTTTCGGGTCCTCATGTTGTTTATGTCGAAATTTCTATGTATCTGTCTATATAATTGTTGAATGTACAAAATATACACAGATTTAGAAGTATTGCGGTTTTAGATGTAAATCTACGCTTTGAATAAATATTTTGTTCCAAGGACGAGTGTGTTTTATTTTTATTGGGCGGGTTTTATCTGGACGATATTGTGGCTGTTATCTGGTATTAGAGGTGTATTATTCGGTCATTTATTAATGCGGGTTATCTAGTTTATAAGGGCGTTTAGCAGATTAGCGGATTTACGACACGAAAGTTAATGAATTTATTAACGAATATTTGTAGTTACAAACACCTAGAAAATTTGAAAAAATTAAGAAAATTGAAAACCGAAACGAAAAATTGCACGTCTAAAATTGAAAAATTCAAAAAATTGCAAATCGAAAAATTGGAGAAACAAAAAATATGAAAAATTCAAAAATGGTGTATCGAAAAATTCAAGAAACGAAAATTCGAAAAAATTAAAGTTGAACAAAATTAATAAAATTGAAAACCGAAAGGATAAATTGCAGATCGAAAAACTGAAAATTCTAAAAACTCAATAATTCAAAAGTTGTAAAATTCGAGAACTGAAAAGTTTAAACTTGAAACTTCGAAAAATTGGAGAAACAAAAAAAATGAAAAATTGAAAAATCGTGTAACGAAAAATTCAAGAAACGGAAATTTCAAAAAAATTAAATTGAAAAAAATTAATAAAAATTGAAAACCGAAGCGAAAAATTGAAAAACAAAAACTGAAAAATTCAAGTTGGAAAATTCAAAAACTGAAGAGTTAAGACTTGAAAACCCGAAAAATTACAAATCGGAAAATTGATGAAATAAAAAAAAATGAAAAACGAAAAAACCCTGAAACGAAAAATTGTAGAAACGAAAATTGTCAAAAGTTGGTAAATTCAAAAACTGAAGAAACAAAAAAATATGGAACATTGAAAAAGCGTGAAACGAAATATTGTAGAAACGAAAATTTGAAAAAATTAAAACTCAAAGAAAAAGAAAATTGGAAACCGAAACGGAAAATTGCAGATCGAAAAACTGAAAATTCTAAAAACTGAAAAGTTCAAAATTTGGAAAACTCAAGAAATGAAAAGTTTAAACTTGAAAACCCGAAAAATTGCAAATCGAAATATTTAAGAAACAAAAAAATGAAGAAACGAAAATTTGAAAAAATTGAAGATAAAAACAAAAGAAAATTGAAAACCGAAACGAAATATTGCTGATTGACAATTGAAAAATCTAAAAATTGAAAACTCCAAAAGTTGGAAAATTAAAAAACTGAACACCTTAAAGTTGAAAACCCGAAAAACTGAAGAAACAAAAAAGAATAAAAAATTGAAAAATCCTGAAACCAAAAACTGAAGAAACGAAGAAATGAAGAAACGAAAATTTGAAAAAATTTATATTGAAAAAAAATAACGAAAATTGAAAACCGAAACGAAAAACTGCAGATCGAAAAATTGAAAATTCTAAAAACTGAAAAATTCAAAAGTTGGAAAATTCGAGAATTGAAAATTTAAACTTGAAAATTCGAAAAATTGGAAAAACAAAAAAATGAAAAATTGAAAAATCGTGTAACGAAAAATTGTAGAAACGAAAATTTTCAAAAGTTGGTATATTCAAAAACTGAAAAGTTTAAACTTGAAAATTCGAAAAATCGAAAATCGAAAAACTCAATAAAAAAAAATGGAACATTGAAAAAGCGTGAAACGAAAAATGGAAGAAACGAAAAATTGAAAAAACCAAAATTTGAAAAAAATTAAGACTCAAAGAAAAAGAAAATTGACAACCGAAACGAAAAATTGCAGATCGAAAAACTGAAAATTCAAAAATTGAAAAATTCAAAAATTGGAAAACTCAACTGAAAAGTTTAAACTTGAAAACTCGAAAAACTGCAAATCGAAACGAAACGAAATACATATTCCAAATCCAAAATTGAAAAATCTAAAAATTGAAAAATCCAAAGATTGGAAAATTCAAAAATTGAACTTGAAAACCCGAAAAATTGCAAATCGAAATATTTAAGAAACAAAAAAACGAAGAAACGAAAATTTGAAAAAATTGTAGATAAAAACAAAAGAAAAATGAAAACAGAAACGAAATATTGCTGAACGAAAATTGAAAAATCTAAAAATTGGAAACTCCAAAAGTTGGAAAATTCAAAAATTGAAAACCTTAAACTTGAAAACCGGAAAAATTGAAGAAACGAAAATTTGAAAAAAATTAATATTGAAAAAAAAATAAAGAAAATTGAAAACTGAAACGAAAAACGGCAGATCGAAAAATTGAAAATTCTAAAAGCTGAAAAATTCAAAAGTTGAAAAATTCGAAAACTGAAAATTTAAACTTGAAAATTCGAAAAATTGCAAGTCGAAAAATTCGAGAAACAAAAAAAAAAAAATGAAAAATTGAAAAATCGTGCAACGTGCAACGAAAAATTCAAGAAACGGAAATTTGAAAAAAAATAATAAAATTGAAAACCGAAACGAAAAATTGCAGATCGAAAAATTGAAAAATATAAAAACTGAAAAATTCAAGTTGGAAAATTCAAAAACTGAAGAAACAATAAAATATGGAACATTAAAAAAGCGTGTAACGAAAAATTGAAGAAACGACAATTTGAACAAATTAAAACTCAAAGAAAAAGAAAATTGGAAACCGAAACGAAAAATTGCAGATCGAAAAACTGAAAATTCTAAAAACTGAAAAATTAAAAAATTAGAAAACTCAAGAACTGAAAAGTTTAAACTTGAAAACTCGAAAAACTGCAAATCGAAACGAAACGAAATACATATTCCAGACCGAAAATTGAAAAATCTAAAAATTGAAAAATTCAAAGGTTGGAAAATTAAAAAATTGGAAAATTCAAAAACTGAAAAGTTTAAACTTGAAAACCCGAAAAATTGCAAATCGAAATAGATAAGAAACAAAAAATTGAAGATAAAAACAAAAGAAAATTGAAAACCGAAACGAAATATTGCTGAACGAAAATTGATAAATCTAAAAATTAGAAACTTCAAAAGTTGGAAAATTCAAAAACTGAAAACCTTAAACTTGAAAACTTGAAAAATTGAAGAAACGAAAATTTTAAAAAATTAATAACGAAAAAAAAAAGAAAATTGAAAACCGAAACGAAAAACTGCAGATCGAAAAATTGAAAATTCTAAAAATTGAAAAATTCAAAAGTTGGAAAATTCGAGAACTGAAAATTTAAACTTGAAAATTCGAAAAATCGTATAACGAAAAATTCAAGAAACGAAAATTTGAAAAAAATAATAACATTGAAAATTGAAACGAAAAACTGCAGATCGAAAAATTGAAAAATATAAAAACTGAAAAATTCAAGTTGGAAAATTCAAAAACTGAAGAGTTTAGACTTAAAAACCCGAAAAATTGCAAATCGGAAAATAGATGAAACAAAAAAAATGAAAAACTGAAAAACCCTGAAACGAGAAATTGTAGGAACGAAAATTTTCAAAAGTTGGTAAATTCAAAAACTGAAATGTTTAAACTTGAAAATTCGAAGTCGCAAATCGAAAAACTGAAGAAACAAAAAAAATATGGAACATTGAAAATGCGTGAACGAAAAAATGTAAAAACGAAAATTTGAAAAAATTAAAACTCAAAGAAAAAGAAAATTGAAAAATTGAAAATTCTAAAAACTGAAAAATTCAAAATTTGGAAAATTCGAGAACAGAAAATTTAAACTTGAAAATTCGAAAAATTGCAAATCGAAAAATTGGAGAAACAAAAAAAAATGAAAAATTGAAAAATCGTGTAACGAAAAATTCAAGAAACGAAAATTTGAAAAAAATTAAATTGAAAAAAATTAATAAAATTGAAAACCGAAACGAAAAATTGCAGATCGAAAAATTGAAAAATATAAAATCTGAAGTCTCTCAAGTTGGGAAATTCAAAAACTGAAGAGTTTAGACTTGAAAACCCGAAAAATTGCAAGTCGGAAAATTGATGAAACAAAAAAAAATGAAAAACTGAAAAACCCTATAACGAAAAATTGTAGAAACGAAAATTTTCAAAAGTTGGTAAATTCAAAAACTGAAGAAACAAAAAAATTTGGAACATTGAAAAAGCGTGAAACGAAAAATGGAAGAAACGAAAATTTGAAAAAATGAAAACTCAAAGAAAAAGAAAATTGGAAATCGAAACGAAAAATTGCAGATCGAAAAACTGAAAATTCTAAAAACTGAAAAATTCAAAAATTGGAAAACTCAAGAACTGAAAAGTTTAAACTTGAAACTCGAAAAACTGCAAATCGAAATGAAATGAAATACATATTCCAGACCGAAAATTGAAAAAATCTAAAAATTTAAAAATTCAAAGGTTGGAAAATTAAAAAATTGAAAAGTTTAAACTTGAAAACCTGAAAAATTGCAAATCGAAATATTTAAGAAACAAAAAATGAAGAAACGAAAATTTGAAAAAATTGAAGATAAAAATAAAAGAAAATTGAAAACCGAAACGAAATATTGCTGAACGAAAATTGAAAAATCTAAAAATTGGAAACTCCAAAAGTTGTAAAATTCAAAGACTGAAAACCTTAAACTTGAAAACCCGAAAAATCGAAGAAACAAAAAAGAATAAAACATTGAAAAATCCTGAAACGAAAAACTGAAGAAACAAAAATTTGAAAAAATCAATATTGAAAAAAAAAAATAAAGAAAATTGAAAACCGAAACGAAAAACTGCAGATCGAAAAATTGAAAATTCTAAAAACTGAAAAATTCAAAGTTGGAAAATTCGAGAACTGAAAATTTAAACTTGAAAATTCGAAAAATTGGAAATCGAAAAATCGGAGAAACAAAAAAAATGAAAAATTGAAAAATCGTGTAACGAAAAATTCAAGAAACGAAAATTTGAAAAAAATTAAATTAAAAATAATTTGTAAAATTGAAAACCGAAACGAAAAATTACAGATCGAAAATCGAAAACCCGAAAAATTGACGAAACAAAAAAAAATGAAAAATTGAAAAATCCTGATACAAAAGTAGTAGTAGTGGACAACTGGCTACTTTTCTGTTTTGTCGACAATTCATGGTCCCTAGAGTACGAAAAGTTAGGTCTCTCATTTCCGTTCGTCCGTCCATCTGTTTGTCTGTTTATCTGTCTGTCTGTATGCCGTCTGTCCCGATTTTATTAGGCAGATAATCTTCCAACTACTGGACTCTTGAATTTTCGGAAAAGTTGCCAAAAAATGAACAAAAAAGTCTTAGATCCAATTTTATTGTTTCAGAGCAAACTTTTTGAAATATTCGGTTTGAATTTTTTTTTTTTAATAATCCGAATTTTTCACAATTTAGTTGGCGATTCTGCAAAAAATGGTAGAAACTGTTACTAATTTTCAAAAGTGATCAAAAATTTCAAAAGTAGGTACTGAAAAATTGAGCTTTTTAAAAAATGGCTTAAAAATCCACAAAGAGTTCTTGGGGTGTGCATTCCAACGTGCTGATTTGAAAACTATAACATTTTAATGGTTATATTAATATTAATACAGGTATAGAATCATCATATTTTGTACATTTAAGATAGGATTTATATAACCTCAATGTCTCCAGCAAAACTGAAAATAATAACAGTCATAATAGTACCTAAACAACATCTGTATGCAATAGAACAGGGCCCCACTTTGTAAATTTCCCGGCGGACCCCGTGTCCTCAATCCGACACTGCCTAGACATCCCGTCATTTTATTTTTCTAATGAAAATTAACCGCAATTCTGTGGTTATTTAATGCATAGTTTTGCCACGGAAAGAATAATAAACATTTTTTCTCACATAAGAGATAATAATAAGTTACACGACCAAAACACATGTCATAAATTTTAAAAAGAATCTTTATCTGGAATGTATTATTATATAATTGACGTAAAACTGTTTGAATATGATTAAATTACACCATAAATACTTTCGATAAAAAAATGTAGCTTCTGAAGTTTTGTTGTAAATTTTCCATGTAATCAGTGTGCATGGTTTTGTCGATAAGATGTAGGGGTTATCTCCAGTCATAATATGTAATCCAACGTTATATAATTTTTCTGCTTAGGGCTTAATACTAAATAAAATTTAAAAAAATAAAAACGCATTTGAACATTATTTTAAACATTCCAAACTAATTAATTAATAAAACACATTTTTTTTAATTTAAACAAGTATGAAGTTAGAGATAAACAAAAATAGGTACATACACACACAAAAGATGTTATTTATTCTTTTGAATTTCGTTCATATTTAGAATACACAAACAGATATAAAAGCCGAGATTATCACAAGAGAAACATTTACTCTGAAGAACTATCGTCTGAAAGTCGTTCAATCATGGCTCCGAAGGACAATCTAACCGCCGTTCTGTACGGAATCAACGACATGCGTCTGGTAAGAAAACACTTCAAAAATCCACCAAACTTTCGTATATTTTCGTAGGAACAAAGACCGATTCCCGTTCCAAAGCCAAACCGTAAGTCTTAATAATTGAGTACTGATAACCCAAACCACTTTTCGAAAATCCAGAGGTCCTTTTGAAAATGGAAGTGGTCGGCATTTGCGGCTCCGACGTCCACTATCTAGTCAGCGGAAGGATCGGCCCTTTCGTGGTCAAAAAACCCATGGTTATCGGGCACGAGGCCTCTGGTACCATCGTGGAAGTGGGTAAAGACGTGAAGGATTTGAAACCTGGTGATCGCGTGGCCATCGAACCTGGAATAACCTGTAGGACCTGCTATGACTGCAAAAGCGGGAATTACCACCTTTGTAGGGACATGGTGTTTTGCGCCACGCCCCCGGTGGACGGAAATTTGGCCCGGTACTACGTCCACGACGCCGATTTTTGTCACAAGTAAGTGGATTGTTATAGTTAAAATATGAAAAATGAATTGGGTTTTAACTTTTAAGACTCCCCGATAATATGGATCTGGAAGAGGGTGCTTTGATGGAACCGCTTGCAGTGGGAGTCCATGCATGCAAACGAGCTGGGGTACGAGTCGGTTCCATAGTTTTAGTACTAGGCGCCGGTCCCATTGGGCTCGTTTCGATGCTAACAGCCAAAGCTATGGGTGCATCTAAAGTCATAATTACAGGTTTACCGAGCATCGCATAGTACTAAACAAGTACCAGTGAGCTATTTTCGTTGTTGTAGATCTCGTAGACCACCGTTTAAACAAAGCAAGAGAACTTGGTGCCGACTTTACCGTACGAATCGAGAAGAACATGACCGAAGACGACATTATCAAAAAAGTGAAAAGTCTTCTGGGGGAAGACCCTACGGTTACGCTGGAGTGTACCGGGGCTGAACAGAGCGTCCGGGTTGCTTTGCAGGTGACCAAATCCGGCGGTGTTGTTATTTTAGTCGGATTGGGTAAATTCGAAATGACGGTACCTCTAGCGGGTGCTTTAGTCCGTGAAGTCAATATCAGAGGGGTTTTCAGATACAACAATGAGTATGTGGCAGGTCTTTTTTTTCACAGATTAATAGTGTTATTTTAGCTATCCCATTGCGATCGAGTTGGTGAAAACTGGCAAAGTCAACGTGAAACCGTTGATTACTCATCATTTCACCATTGAAGAGACGAAGAAAGCTTTCGAGACTGCTAAAACTGGACAGGGGAATCCGATCAAGATTCTTATTCATGCTAACCCCGAGTGGAAACCATGATTTACTTGATTTTAAATTTAATTTAATTAAAAAAAGTTACTATCTACACAATATTACTAAAATGTCATAATAATTTGTCAAGTGGTTTCACAAATTATCTGCCTAATAAAATCGACATAGTCATCATAAAAAAAAGAAAATGGTATAAGATTATTTCAACAGAACTTGTCTTACTGCTGAAGTAAAGCCCAATACATCCCGGTTCTTTGAAAAATGATAAAATTTGATTTTGCGTTTTTGGTTTTGTGATAATCTCTATAAAGTAAAAACTAGTGGTGCAAATAACAAAAAAAAAAGTAAAAAAATCGAAAAGTCGAAAAATGGAAAAATTGAAAAATCGAAAAACAAATATTAAAAAAATTTCAAATTCGAAATTTCAAAAATTGTCTAGAAACTGAAGAATGTAAAAATTGATAAATCGAAAATTCAGAATATCGAATCTCGAAAATTCGGGAAATCAAAAAATCAAAAATTTGAAAAATTGAAGAATTGAAAAATTGAAAATCGAGAAAAAAATTAAAATATCTAAAAATTGAAAACCGAAAAACCAAAAATTCGAAAATTGAGATTTGCAACAATCCAAAAATCGAAATACATATAGGCAAAATGTAATACATATTTAAAGCCGAAACATCGCAAATCGAGAAATTGAAAAAAATTGAAAATTTGAATATCGAAAAATCGAAAATTCAAAAAATCAAAAATCGAAAATGGAACAAGTTGAAAATTTGAATATCGAAAAACTGAAAACTAATAAAACTCGATTAATCAAATCTTCGAAGAAACAAATTCCGAAAAATCGAAAAATTCGAAAAACCAAAAAATAAAAAAGATAGAAAATTGAAGTTCCGAAAATTCGAAAACTCTAAATTCGGAATGTCGAAAAATGGAAAAATTAAAAAATCGAGAAATCGATAATAAAAAACTTGAAAATTCGAAATTTCGAAAACTGAAAATTTATAAGATCAAAAATTCGAAATATCGAAAAATCGAAAATTCCATGTATTCGCAAAATCGAAAATTGAAAAAACGAAAAATCCGAAAGTTGAAAAATTTGAAAAATTGAATAGTGGAAAAATTGACAACTCGAGAAACCAACAAGAAAAAAAATTTAAAGGTCAAAAAACTGAAAAACAAAAATTGAAAAATCGAAAACTAAAAATTGAGAAAAATTCGAAAAATCGAATTGAAAAATCGGGAAATAAAAAAAAAAAAAATTGAAAATTCGAATATCGAAAAATTGAAAATTCAATGAATCAAATTTCGAAAAAACGAAAAACCGAGAAATCAGAAATTCGAAAATCGAGATTTCCAAAAATACAATAATCGAAATATAGAAAAAATGAAATATTGAAAGTCGAAAAATCGAAAATGCAAACAATCAAAAATCGAAAATGGATCAAATTGAAAATTCGAATATCGAAAAACTGAAAAATCGATTAGTCAAATGTTCGAAGAAACGAAATTCCTAAAAATCGGAAAATTTATAAAATCGAAAATTCTATTAATCAAAGATGTATTAGCAAAATCGAAAATTGAAAAAACGAAAATTCGAAAAATCGGAAAGTTGAAAAATTCTAAAAATCGAGAAATTGAAAAAGACAAAACAGAAAATTTTGAAAAATTCAAAAACTAGATAATGGAAAAATTGACAACTCGAGACATCGAAAAGTAAAAAAATTGAAAAGTCTAAAAACTGAGAAACAAAAATTGAAAAATCGAAAACTCGAGAAATCAAAAAATCGAAAACTAAAAATTGTGAAAATTTGAAAAATCGGGATATCGAAAAAGAAACAAATTGAAAATTCGAATATGAAAAATTGAAAATTCGAAAAAAGAAAAAAGAAAATTGATAAAATCGAAAATTCGACTAATCAAAGATGTATTAGCAAAATCGGAAATTGAAAAAACAAGACATCGAAAAGTAAAAAAATCAAAAGTCTAAAAACCGAAAAACAAAAATTGAAAACTCGAAATCTAAAAATAGAGTAAATTCGAAAAATCGGCAAATCGAAAAAGGAAAATTGAAAATTCGAATATCGAAAAATTAAAATTCAATGAATATCGAAAAATTAAAATTCGATGAATCAAATATGTATTCGAAAAAACGAAAATACGTAAAATCAAAAATTCGAAAGTCGCGATTTCCAAAAATCCAAGAATCGAAATATAGAAAAAATGGAATATCTAAAATCGAAAATTCTAAAATTGAAAAATCGAGAAATTGAAAAAGGAAAAGAAAAAAACTAATAAATCTAAAAAAAAATTGAAAACTTGAAATCCAAAGCTAAAAAAATTGAAGTTTAGAAACTTAAGAATGGAAAAATTGAAAAATCGATAATTCAAAAAGTCAAAAATCGAAAATGGGAAATTTCTAAAAAAAATCGACAATTCTATTAATCAAAGATGTATTCGCAAAATCGAAAATTGAAAAAACGAAAATTCGAAAAATCGGAAAGTTGAAAAATTAAAAAATTGATAAATTATTAAATTGAAAAAGTCAAAAGTGAAAAATTTGGAAAATTTAAAAACTGAATAATGGAAAAATTGTCAACTCGAGAAACCGAATGGTAAAAATTAAAAGTCTAAAACCTGAAACCTGAAAAACAAAAATTGAAAAATCGAAAACTAAAAATTGAGAAAATTCGAAAAATCGGGAAATCGAAAAAGAACCAAATTGAAAATTCGAATATCGAAAAATTAAAATTCAATGAATATCGAAAAATTAAAATTCAATGAATCAAACATGTATTCGAAAAAACGAAAATACGTAAAATCAAAAATTTGAAAATCCACAAATCCAAGAATCGAAATATAGAAAAAAAAATACCGAAAGCCGAAAATTCGAAAATTCCTAAAATCGAAAAGTCGAAAAATGGACAAATTGAAAAATCTAGAAATTGAAAAAGCGAAAAGTAAAAAAAATAACAAATAGAAAAAAGTAAAAATTTGAATATCCAAAAGTAAAAAAGTTGAAGCCTAAGAACTTAAGAATGGAAAAATTGAAAAATCGAAAATCTAATAAATCTAAATTCGAAAATGAAAACTCGAATATCGAAAAATTGAAAACTTGATTAATCAAATGTTCGAAGAAATGAAGTTCCGAAAAATCGGAAAATTCGAAAATCTAATAATTGGAAAACCAAAAAATAAAAAAGTTAGAAAATCGAGATTCCAAAAAATCGAAAATCCTAAAATCGGAATGTTGAAAAATGGAAAAAGTAAAAAATCGAGAAATCAAATTAAAAAAAATTGAAAATTCGAAATTTCGAAAAAAGAAAATTTATAAAATCGAAAATTCGAAAAAATCGGAAAGTTGAAAAATTAAAAAATCGAGAAACTGAAAAAGCCAAAAGTGAAAAATTTGATAAATTGAAAAACTGAATAATGGAAAAATTGACAACTCGAGAAACTGAAAAATCGAAAACTAAAAATTGTGAAAATTCGAAAACTTGAAGAATTGAAAAATCGGGATATCGAAAAAGAACCAAATTGAAAATTCGAATATCGAAAAATTGAAAATTCAATGAATCAAATTTCGAAAAAAAAAAAATCGAAAAATCGGAAATTCGAAAATCGAAATCTTCAAAAATCCAAGAATCGAAATATAGGAAAAACGGAATATCGAAAGTCGAAAAATCGAAAATTTCAAAATCGAAAACTCGAAAAATAAACAAATTGAAAAAGCCAAAAGTAAAAAATTAACAAATCGAAAAAAAAATTGAAATTTTGAATATCGAAAAGTCAAAAAATTGAAGTCTAAAATCTTAAGAATGGAAAAATTGAAAAATCGAAAATGGAACAAATTGAAAATTCGAATAACGAAAAATTGAAAACTCGATTAATCAAATCTTTGGAGAAACGAAATTCCGAAAAAATCGGAAAATTCGAAAAACCATAAAATAAAAAAAAATGAAAATAAAGGTTCCGAAAACTCGAAATCAATATTAAAAAAAATGAAATTTTGAAATTACGAAAATTGAAAATTTATAAAATCAAAAAATCGAAAATTCGATGAATCAAAGATGTATTCGCAAAATTGTAAATTGAAAAAATGAAAATTCGAAAAATCGGAAAGTCGAAAAATTAAAAAAATCCAGAAATTGAAAAAGTCAAAAGTGCAAGATTTGAAAAATTGAAAAACTGAATAATGGAAGGATTTACAACTCGAGAAAACGAAAAATAAAAAAATTAAAAGTCGAAAAACTGAAAAACAAAAATTGAAGAATCGAAAACCCGAGAAATCAAAAAATCGAAAACTAATAATTGAGAAAATTCGAAAAATCGAATTGAAAAATCGGGAAATCGAAAAAGAAACAAATTGAAAATTCGAATATCGAAAAATTGAAAATTCAGTGAATCAAATTTCGAAAGAACGAAAAACCGAAAATTCGAAAATCGAGATTTCCAAAGATCCAAGAATCGAAATATAGGAAAAACGGAATATCGAAAGTCGAATAATCGAAAATCCTAAAATCGAAAAGTCGAGAAATGGACAAACTGAAAAATGGAAAAAGCGAAAAACCGAAAAGTAAAAAAATTAACAAATCGAAAAAAAAAATGGATATCGAAAAGAAAAAATTTGAAGCCTAAAAACTTAAGAACGGAAAATTGAAAAATCGAAAATCCAAAAAATCAAAAATCGAAAATGAAACAAAAAAAGCAATAAAAAAACCTCAACGTCAAAACTAGGTCAGTATTTGATCATCTACACGATATTGGTAACACACATAAAATTTAACAACTGGTTTAGTAGTTTCTGAGATTATCTGTTTAATAAAAATCCGGACAGACGGCAGACAGACAGACAGACGGAAACGGGCGACCTATTGTATCGTCCTGAATTTACACAAGTAAAAAAAAAATCCGGTATCCCGGCGGCACAACCCGACACTGGTGTTAAGTTCACGTTTCAAAACAGCCTCTAGATTAATTTTAATGCGTTCAATTTCTCCATTATTGTTTTGCAATTTATTCATACGTCTACGAGCCGAGGTCAAACGAAGGCACTTTTTAACAGTCGCTGAAAATCCAATTGATCTTAATAGACACCAAGAAGGGGAACGGCACGCCTCTGCACAATCTCGTTTTCACGTTTTAGCATTAATCTCCCTCCAGTTCCACATATTCAACTACACATCAACAACAACTGATATTACGTCAAAACGCACACTTATAAAAGCCAACACGTATCAAAACACTGCATTTCGACTGGCGTTCATTTGACGAGTGTTTGTGACTTTTAGCGCTGAGCGAAATGGCAGGGAAGGACAATCTGACAGCCGTTTTGTACGGAATCGAAGACATGCGATTGGTAAGTCAGTAAAAACGATAAACAAAAATAATGGGTTTCTTACAGGAGCAGAGACCCATCCCGGTACCCAAAGACCACCGTAAGTTCACTAAACTAGCTAGCACCCATAAACATTACGTAAATTCCAGAGGTCCTTCTGAAAATGGAGTCTGTGGGGATTTGTGGTTCCGACGTCCACTACTTGGTCAGCGGACGCATCGGGCCCTTCATCGTCGAAAAACCGATGATAATCGGTAATTTTAACAACGTTTTTATTAGCTTTGTTATCACACTGATAACTGTGTCGTACCCTTCTAGGTCACGAAGCCTCTGGAACCGTGCTCCAAGTGGGTAAAAATGTCACAAATCTCAAACCAGGTAATTATTAAAACAAACTTAAACCGTAAGTGGGTGATTGATGGTGTTGACAGGTGACCGTGTGGCCATCGAGCCCGGAGTTGGGTGTCGTACTTGTTCTTTCTGCAAAGAGGGCGATTATCATCTTTGTGCCGATATGATCTTCTGCGCCACGCCGCCAGTCGATGGGAATCTCAGCCGGTACTACGTCCACGATGCCGATTTCTGCTTCAAGTATGACGAATTTTGTTATCTTTGTAGTAGATAAACAATGCCAAGGACGGCTATATTATTAGAAATGTAAATTATTCGACTATTTAAACCATGTCGCAACCACTGTTATCAAGTTTGAACGGTTAAAACTCGAAACTTGGACAACTGGCTACTTTTATATTTTCTCGACGTTTCATGCCCCCTACTTGTTTACGTGTAATCCACAAAATGACAAAAAATCTCGTACTCCATTACAATAATGGCACTCAAAGATAACCCTATGCGGACAGAAATCCTTTCATCTTTTTAAAGAGGGCCATTCACATAAACTACTCAAATAAATTATATCTAACATTATCATACCACTTCGACGGTTAAGTAAGTAAACAGAGACGTATTAGTGCTAGTTTTACTTTACATAATAAATAGTAATTACCACACTAAATTTTATCACCTTTTATCAAATATTTATACACATACATATATATTTCCAAATGTTTTTCAGGCTGCCTGACAATGTCAGTCTTGACGAAGGCGCCCTTATGGAGCCCTTATCCGTGGGCGTCCACGCCTGCAAACGCGCCAACGTGCGCTTCGGGGACGTGGTCCTAATCCTGGGAGCCGGACCCATAGGGCTAGTTACGCTCCTGTCCGCCAAAGCAATGGGGGCCACTAAGGCCATAATCACAGACGTCGTTGCCGGGCGGCTCGAAAAAGCCAAAGAAATAGGGGCCGACTATACCCTAAAAATCGAAAAAAATATGACGGAGCAGGACATAGTGTCCAGGATTAAGGAGCTTTTAGGGGAAGACCCTAATATCAGTTTGGACTGTACTGGAGCCGAACAGTGCGTGCGGGTTGCGCTTCAGGTATATATATTTTTATGATTGTAGATAGAGGGAGTTGATAAAATTTGTTTATAGGCGACGAAGACAGGAGGAGTCGTCACTTTGGTGGGGTTGGGCAAGTTCGAGATGAATTTGCCTCTGACGAGCGCTTTGATACGCGAGGTGGATATCAGAGGGGTTTTCCGATACAATAACGAGTATGTATTGACCTATCTAATCGAGTACTTAATCTCGTAAAATTATCCGGTTTTGTCCGGTTTTGGTTGACACTTGAGTAATTTATTTTTATCAAATTGTTTTAGTTATCCTACAGCTATCGAAATGGTTAAGACTGGAAAGGCAAACGTCAAGTCGTTGATTACGCACCACTACAAGATCGAAGACACGAATAAGGCTTTCCACACGGCCAAAACTGGGGAGGGAAATCCGATTAAAGTTCTGATTCATGCAAATCCTGACTGGAAACCGTGATTTTTTTAGTTTGTGCCTTTTGTTTTGTGGATAATAAAATGAGATTGTGTGTTTTAAGTCGTTATAGTTTTTTTTTTAAACTTTCTAAACATAAAATTATCAAAAATTCTAGTGGAAAATAAGTACAAAAATTAAAGTGGTGTCAAATTGAAGATAATTTTCCAACAATTACAAACCCGAAATCGCAGTCACTACATCTAAATATTCAAATAAACGTAAAAAACGAGTTGACAATTTTCAAATTTTTCCAAAAAAATTATTAAAATGGTTAAAACGAAACATCGAAAAATTGTAAAATCGAAGCATTGAAAAATTGCAAAATCGAAAAATTTAAACATCGAAAAATGCAAAACGGAAAAATCTAAAACTGTGAAGTCGAAAAATCGAAACATCAAAAAATTTAAAAATTTAAAATTTAAAAAATCGGAAAATTAAAGTATCAAAAAATCAAGAAATGGAAATATCAAAAAATTGAAAAATCAAAAAAATCTAAGTTTAAAAAAAAATGGAAAAACCTAAAAAAGAAAAAATCGAGAAATTAAAGAATTGAGAAACTGAAAAATCGAACAAAAACCTCAAAAACCGAAAAATTGAAAAAATCTGGAAGTCGAAATACCAAAAAATTGAAAAATTGAAAAATCTAAAAAATTTAAAAATTCGAAAAAGTCAAAAATCAAAAAATTGAAACATTCAAGAATCGAAATATTGGAAAATTACAAAACTGATATATCGAAAAATTGATAAGAGGCTAAATTGAAAAATTGAACAATACAAAATTTTAGATCTCGGAAAATTGAAAAACGGAAACAAAAACAAATTGAAAAATTTTAAATTTAAAAAATGGAAAAAAGTGAAAAAGCAAGAAATGAAATTTTCAGAAAACCCAAAAGTTGAAAAATGGAGAAATCGAAAGATAGAAAAATTGAAGATTCGAAATATTGGAAAATTCAAAAACTGAAATATCAAAAAATTGACAAATCGCGAAGTCGAAAAATCGAGAAATTGAAAAACCGACAAAAAATGGAAAATTCGAAAAGTTTAAACTTTGAAAAATTAAGAAATCGAATGATAGAAAAACTAAAACATCAAAAAATTTAAATTTTAAAATATTGAAAAATTGAAAAATCCACAAATGGAAATATCCAAAAACCAAAAAATTGAATAATCAAAAAATCTGAAATTAGAAAAATTAAAAACCTAAAAATAAAAAATCGAAAACTGAAAATTCGGAAAATCGAAAAAATGTAAAGCTGAAAATTTGAGAAATCGAATCAACAAAAAATTGAAAAAATTAAAATTTAAAAATAGGAAAAAGTCAAAAATCGAGAAATTGAAAAACAAAAAAAATTGAAGGATCCCGAAACTTGAAGTTCGAAAAATTGAGAAACTGAAAAATCTATAATCTAAAATACCGAAAAATTGAGAAAATAAAAACTTGAAAAATTGAGAAATCGAAAAATTAAAGAATCGAAATATGGAAAAATTTCCAAACCAAAAGATCGAAGAAATCATAAGTGGACAAATCGAAAAATCGAAAAAAAATTGAAAAATTTAAAATTTAAATATCCAAAAAAATTTAATTATCAAAAAATCTAAAATTAAAAAAAAATCAATAACCGAAAACGAGAAAATCGAAAATTGAAAATTCAGAAAATCGAAAAATTGAAAAATTGTAAAGCTGAAAATTTGAAAAATCGAGAAATCGAAACATCAAAAAATTGAAAAATCGAAATGTTGAAAAGTTCCAAAACTGAAATATCGAAAAATTGATAAGACGCTAATTCGAAAAATCGAGAAATTTAAAACCAAAAAAAAAATATTGAAAGACACTGAAACTTAAATTTCGAAAAATTGAAAAACTGAAAAATCAATAATCTAAAATATCGAAAAATTGAGAAAATAAAAACTTGAAAAATCGAGAAATCGAAAGAAATTTAAAAATTTAAAATTTAAATATCCAAAAAGTGAAAAATAAACAAATGGAAACATCAAAAACCAAAAAATTGAATTATCAAAAAATCTGAAATTAAAAAAAACAACGAGAAAATCGAAAACTGAAAATTCGGAAAATCGAAAAATTGAAAAATTGTAGAGTTGAAAATTTGAAAAATCGAGAAATCCAAACATCAGAAAATTGAAAAATTGAAAGAGCTAAAATTCAAAAATTGGAAAAAGTCAAAAATCGAGAAATCGAAAAATTTAAAACCGTGACGTCGAAAAATGGAATGATCGAAAAACCGAACCATAAAAAAAATGAAAAATTTAAAATTTAGAAAATCAAAAATTTAAAATATCGAGAAATTGAAAAATCAAGAAATGGAAATATCAAAAAACCGAAAAATTGAATAAACAAAAAATATGTAATTAAAAAAAATTAAAAACCTAAAAAGTAAAAAATTGGAAAGTCGAAAAATCGAAAACTTGTAGAGTTGAAAATTTGAAAAATTAAGAAATCGAAACACCAAAAAATTTAAAAATTTAAAATTTAAAATATCGAAACATTAAAATGTCGAAAAATTGAAAACTCAAGAAATGGAAATGTTAAAAGACGGAAAAATTGAAAAATCAAAAATCTAAAATTAAAAAAAAAATCAAACAACTAAAAAGTAAAAAATCGAGAAACTGAAAATTCAGAAAGTCCAAAAATGGAAAAATTGTAGAATAGAAAAATTAAAAGCGAGAAATGGAAATGTCACAAAATTGAAATATTGAAAAACTAAAAATCTAAAATTAAAAAATTCGAAAAAGTCAAAAATGGAGAAACCAAAAAATAGAAAAATTGAAGATCGGAAACATTGAAAAATTCCAAAATTGAAAGATCGAACAACTGACAACATGCTAATTCTAAAAATCAAGAAATTGAAAAACAGACAAAAAATGGAAAATTCTAAAACTTAAACTTTGAAAAATTGGGAAATTGAAGAACTGAAAAATCGAAAAATAAAAAATTTTTGATATCGAAAAATTGAAAAACGGGCAAAATCGTAAAATCGAATGATCGAAAAACCGAAACCTCAAGAAATTGAAAAATCACAAATCGAAAAATTGAATAAAGAAAAAATATGTAATTAAAAAAAAAAATGAAAAACCTAAAAAGTAAAAAATCGGAAAGTCGAAAAATCGAAAACTTCTAGAGTTGAAAATTTGAAAAATCGAGAAATCGAAACACCAAAAAATTGAAAAATTGAAAAATCGAAAATATAAAAATTGGAAAAAGTCAAAAATCGAGATATCCTCCGATTTTCCGATCGAAAAATTGAAAAAGCGTTATATTGAAAAATTCCAAAACTGAAATATCGAAAAATGTCCCTAAATCGAAAAATCGAAAAAGTGGAAAACAAAAAAAAATGAAAAATTGAGAAACTTAAACTTCGAAAAATTGAGAATTTGAATGATAGAAAAACTATAACATAAAAAATTGAAAAATTTAAAATTTAAAATATTGAAAAATTGAAAAATCCACAAATGGAAATATACAAAAACCAAAAAATTGTATCATCAAAAAATCTGAAATTAGAAACATTAAAAACCTAAAAATAAAAAATCGAAAACGGAAAATCAAAAGTTGTAGAGCTGAAAATTTGAAAAATCGAGAAATCGAATCAAATTGAAGATAATTTTCCAACAATTACAAACCCGAAATCGCAGTCACTACATCTAAATATTCAAATAAACGTAAAAAACGAGTTGACAATTTTCAAATTTTTCCAAAAAAATTATTAAAATGGTTAAAACGAAACATCGAAAAATTGTAAAATCGAAGCATTGAAAAATTGCAAAATCGAAAAATTTAAACATCGAAAAATTGCAAAACGGAAAAATCTAAAACTGTGAAGTCGAAAAATCGAAACATCAAAAAATTTAAAAATTTAAAATTTAAAAAATCGGAAAATTAAAGTATCAAAAAATCAAGAAATGGAAATATCAAAAAATTGAAAAATCAAAAAAATCTAAGTTTAAAAAAAAATGGAAAAACCTAAAAAAGAAAAAATCGAGAAATTAAAGAATTGAGAAACTGAAAAATCGAACAAAAACCTCAAAAACCGAAAAATTGAAAAAATCTGGAAGTCGAAATACCAAAAAAATTTAAAATTTAAAATATTGAAAAATTGAAAAATCCACAAATGGAAATATACAAAAACCAAAAAATTGTATCATCAAAAAATCTGAAATTAGAAACATTAAAAACCTAAAAATAAAAAATCGAAAACGGAAAATCAAAAGTTGTAGAGCTGAAAATTTGAAAAATCGAGAAATCGAATCACCAAGAAATTGAAAAAGCTAAAATTTAAAAATTGGAAAAAGTCAAAAATCGAGAAATTGAAAAATTGAAAAATCGAAATATTGAAAAATTACAAAACTGAACTATCGAAAAGTCGAAAAATTGAAAAACAGAGAAAATACTGAAAGATCCCGAAATTTAAAGTTCGAAAAATTGAGAAACTAAAAAATCTAAAATCTAAAATATCGAAAAATTGAGAAAATAAAAACCTGAAAAATTGAAAATTCGAAAAATCGAGAAATCGACACATCAAAAAATTGGAAAATTGAAAAAGCTAAAATTAAAAAATTGGAAAAAGTCAAAAAATGAGAAATCGAACAACTGAACAATCGAAATGTTGAAAAATTCCAAAACTGAAATTCGGAAAATTGATAAGACGCTATAAGTCGAAAAATCGAGAAATTTAAAAACAAAAAAAATATTGAGACACCGAAACTTAAATTTCGAAAAATTGAGAAACTGAAAAATCAAAAATCTGAAATATCGAAAAATTGAGAAAATAAAAACTTGAAAAATCGAGAAATCGAAAAATTAAAGAATCGAAATATGTAAAAATTTCCAAACCAAACAATTCATAACTGGATAAATTGAAAAATCGGAAAAAATTTAAAAATTTTAAATTTAAATATCCAAAAAGTGAAAAATAAACAAATGGAAACGTCAAAAACCAAAAAATTGAATTATCAAAAAATCTGAAATTAAAAAAAAACAAAAAGAGAAAATCCAAAACTGAAAATTCGGAAAATCGAAAAATTGAAAAACTGTAGAGCTGAAAATTTAAAAATTGGAAAAAGTCAAAAATCGAGAAATTGAAAAATTGAAACATCTAAATAAGTACTGAAAAATTACAAAACTGAAAGATCGAAAAATTAGTAAGTCGCTAAACCAAAAAAAAATTCAAAAAATTGAAAAACAGAAAAAAAAAATGAAAGATTCCAACACTTAAACTTCGAAAAATTGAGAAACCGAAAAATCGAAAATCTAAAATTTCGAAAAATTGAAAAAATAAAAACCTGAAAAATTGAGAAATCGAAAAATGAAAGAATCGAAATATGGAAAAATTTCCAAACTAAAAGATCCAAACTGATAACTTGATAACTGAGCAAACAGAAAAATTGAAAAATTCCAAGACTGAGACTTCGAAAAATTGAGAAATCCAAATTTAAAAAATCGAAAATAGTCACGACATCTAATCAAATAAACGTGAAAAGTGAGTTTTCTCCTTTCAAAATAAAAAAAAAGGTTCAAATGGGTTCAGTTCTATTTTATTAATATTTTATTAATAAATAATTTTAATTTATAAAAATCCCGACATCTGCTGAAATAAACGTGAAAAATGAGTACACAATTTTAAAAAATTTTCCAAAAAGAAAATGGTTGGCTTCAATCGACTAAGAATTTGTGAGAAATTGTAGACAATCTTCCACAAAATACGAATTCTAAATCGCCGGTCAGATATCGATCTAAATAAACTTGAAAAACTGTTTCCAAAAAATTGGTTAAAATGAATTCAATCCACTGAAGATTGGTGTCAAATTGTCGATAATTTTTCGATAATTACGAATACGAAGTCGTGTTACGATATCTGCTTTAAATAAACGTGAACACCGAATTTGTAATTTTCAAAATTTTTTCAAAAAAATTGTTCAAATGAGTTCAATACACCGAAAATTGGTGCCAAGTTATAGATGATCTTTACCTAATTGCGACTCAGAAATCGCATTCACGATATCTATTCAAATAAACGTGAAAAGTGAGTTTAAAATTTTCAAAATCCAAAAAAATGGTTAAAATGGGTTCAACCGTTGGAGGTTTGGTGTCAAATTGTAGATTATTTTTCGCTAATTAAAAGAAAATCAATTTAAATGAAAAACCAAGCGCATGCATAATTTTCTTATCTTAATAGACGTTTCCTTCCATTTCCACGCTGACTATCACTAGTCGATATTATGTAATTATGCATAGTTATAAAAGACACGTGTCACTCTATTTACCAGATAGTGTTGTGGTATTTGTAGACATCTAAATGACTCCTCAAGATAATTTAGCAGCCGTTTTATACGGCATAGAAGATCTACGTCTAGTATGTTTGAACAAAAAAAAATAAACCTCAAATAAACAACTTTGACACATTTCAGGAACGAAGACCAACACCAATTCCCCAAGATCATCGTAAGCGACACTTCACCAACCCCACACATATTAATTAATTAAAAGTTTATTTAAATTCCAGAAGTTCTCTTAAAAATAGCAACTGTAGGAATATGTGGATCAGACGTCCACTTCTTGGTAAACGGAAGAATCGGCTCCTACGTGCTTGAGAAACCCATGATAATAGGTATTTTTTAATTTGTCTTAAGACCAAATTTAAAGTAACTCAATTTCAGGTCACGAGGCCTCCGGAACCGTCCTCGAAGTTGGCAAAAACGTCACAAATTTGAAACCCGGTAAAATCGCTATTTTCACCGTAAGCAAGTAATTGTTTGTATATCAACAGGTGACCGCGTCGCAATTGAGCCGGGCGTTGGTTGTCGCACTTGTTCTTTCTGCAAAAAGGGCAAATACCACCTTTGTAGTGACATGATTTTCTGCGCCTCACCCCCTTACGACGGAAATCTCTGCAGATATTACGTCCACGATGCAGATTTTTGCTTCAAGTATGCAAAACGAGTTATTATTTTTCAACCAAGGACGATTTATGCAACTAATGAGAATGCAAATACTTGTATTACGTAGTTGTTTGTTTTTCTTTCAGGTTGCCAGACAATGTTAGCCTTGAGGAAGGCACCTTGATCGAGCCCTTAGCGGTTGGGGTTCACGCTTGCAAACGTGCGAAGGTACGTTTTGGAGATGTGGTGTTGATTTTGGGGGCTGGACCAATCGGGTTGGTTACGCTTCTCGCTGCTAAAGCAATGGGGGCTACTAAAACCATAATAACAGACCTAGTGGGTGGACGACTCGACAAAGCTAAAGAATTAGGGGTAGATTACACCCTCAAGATTGAAAAAAATATGACGGAAGTTGAAATTGTGTCAAAAATTGAAGAGCTTTTGCAAGAAGCGCCTGACGTCAGTTTGGAGTGTACTGGAGTTGAACAGTGCGTTCGAGTGGCTCTTGAAGTAATTATTAAGTTTTTATAAGCCACAACTTTTTTTATTTTTTTTTTTTATTAATATATTAGGCTACCAAAACCGGAGGGGTGGTCACTCTAGTGGGGTTAGGCAAATTTGAGCTGACGTTACCCCTAGAAAATGCTATTCTACGCGAAGTCGATATCAGAGGAGTTTTCCGATACAACAACGAGTGGGTATTTTTTATATTAATAAATTAACATGTTAATGCACTTATCTAATCGGCTTACTCATCTCGCCAAAAATCATCTGTTTTTGTTTGAGTTTTCGCGTTTATGATCAAACTGATAACACTTTTTAATAACGTATTGTTTTCAGTTATCCTGCCGCTATTGAGATGGTGAAGACCGGGAAAGTGGACCTCAAGCCTTTGATAACGTACCACTTCAGAATCGAAGATTCGGGGAAAGCTTTCCACATGGCGAAGACTGGAGAAGGCAACCCGATAAAAATTCTGATTCATCCAAACCCCGATGATTATTATTAAAGAATAAAGATACACTTTATTATCCCGAGTTTTAAATTTAATTGTCTTACTTTATTTTATTTTGTTGTTAACGAACATAATTTTTTACAAACTAGAGACGAAAAATATTTACCAATGTTTAATCAAACTGAATTGTTTTTAATAACTTCATGTTTGTAGGAAAACGGTGGTCGGTTTAATTATGACCTATTAATGATTATCATATTTAAACAGTATAAATAATAAATATTAATTATGTTTAAATATTACTTATTTCTCGGAAAAGCTAATCGCTGTGATTGGCCAACTTAAATCGTCTTCCAAAATTTCCCAAGAATTTAGAGATTTGTCAAAATATGAATTACAGACTCTTATAAATTAAAACTCAAATTGTATTTACCCCGTTTTCGAAATTTTTTGGAAAAATAGCCACTTTCCTTCGTGTTCACAGCACTAACGCAAAACATTTTCACTAATATTTATTAACAAAAATTTAAAAATTCGCGAACATGTACTACTTTTAAGCGGAAACGGAGCTCCGAATGCTCCGTTGTTGCTGCCACCAGACTGAAATCAAAACTGAACACAAAAGACCGAAAAATGTGACCTTTGCTCATCGTACGTCACGATAAAATTGCAGAAATTATTTTTCATATTTTAGCAGGGAAATTGTACATTTTCCAGGTTAATTTAACAATGGTTAAACAAATTGAACTGTTTTTAAAAACGTCATGTATGTAGGAAAACGGTTTTCGGTTTAATTATGACATATTAATACTTATCATTTTTAAACATTTAATAGTGTTAGTTACATTTAAAAATTATTAATACCTCGGAAAAGCTATCCGCTTAAATTAGCCAACTTAAATCGTCTTCCAAAATTTCCCAAAAACTTAGAGATTTGTCAAAATACGAATCCCGGATTCCAATAAATTAAAAGTCAAATTGTACTTAAAATATCCACATTTTGTCGTGTTCGGAGCACTAATACAGCACATTTTCAATAATATTTATTAGAAATAACTTTAAAATTCGCGAAAACTCGTTATTTTTACGCCAAAACGACACGCCGAAGTTGTCGCCATCAAATCGAAATTAAAACTGAACACAAAGGACCGAAATAGTGATCTTTGCTCAGGTAGCTCACGTGACGGCGACGTCATCGTACGTCACGATGAGATTGCAGAAATTATTTTTCATATTTTGCCCGAAAATTACACATTTTCGGGATTAATTTAACATTATTTAAACAAATTGAATTGTTTTTAATAATTTTATATTTGTAGGAAAACGGTTTTCGCTTTAATTGTGACCTATTAATACATATCATATTTAAACGGTATAAATAATGTTAATTATGTTTAAATATTATTTATTCCTCGGAAAAGCTATCCGTTTGACTGGCCAACTTAAATCGTCTTCCAAAATTTCCCAAGAATTTAGAGATTTGTCAGAATACGAATTACAGACTCTGATAAATTAAAACGCAAATCGTATTTACCCCGTTTTCGAATTTTTTTGAAAAAATATCCACTTTCCTTCGTGTTCACAGCACTAACGCAAAACATTCTCACTCGTATTTATTAACAATAATTCAAAAATTCGCGAACATGTACTACTTTCAAGCGGCACCGGAGCTCCGAATGCTCTGTTGTTGCTGCCACCAGACTGAAATCAAAACTGAACACAAAAGACCGAAAAATGCGACCTTTGCTCATCGTACGACACGATAAAATTGCAGAAATTATTTTTCATATTTTGGCAGGGAAATTGTACATTTTCCAGGTTAATTTAACAATGATTAAACAAATTGAACTGTTTTTAATAACGTCATGTATGTAGGAAAACGGTTTTCGGTTTAATTATGACATATTAATACTTATCATTTTTAAACATTTAATAATGTTAATTACATTTAAAAATTATTAATTCCTCGGAAAAGCTGTCCGCTTAAATTAGTTAACTTAAATCGTCTTCCAAAATTTCCCAAAAACTTAGAGATTTGTCAAAATACGAATCCCGGATTCCAATAAATTAAAAGTCAAATTGTACTTAAAATATCCACATTTTGTCGTGTTCAGAACACTAATACAGCACATTTTCAATAATATTTATTAGCAGTAACTTTAAAATTCGCGAAAACTCGTTATTTTTACGCCAAAACGACACGCCGAAGTTGTCGCCATCAAATCGAAATTAAAACTGAACACAAAGGACCGAAATAGCGACCTTTGCTCAGGTAGCTCACGTGACAGTGTCGTCAACGTACGTCACGATGAGATTGCAGAAATTATTTTTCATATTTTGGCCGGAAAATTACACATTTTCGGGATTAATTTAACATTGTTTAAACAAATTGAATTGTTTTTAATAATTTAATGTTTGTAGGAAAACGGTTTTCGGTTTAATGATGACATATTAATACTTATCATATTTAAACCGTGTAAATAATATCCGCTTCGACTGGTTTACTTAATTCGTTTTCCAAAATTTCCCAAGAATTTAAAGATTTGTCAAAATACGAATTACAGACTCCGATAAATTAAAACTCAATTCGTACTTATTTGAGTTTTATTTTACGCGGTTTTCGAGCCTTTTGCGAATGCTCCGTTGTTGCTGCCACCAGACCGAAATTAAAACTAAACACACTCTTGCATTGTGTATTATTTATGTTTATGTATATGCATGACAAATTTTTTATTGATGATGTTACCTCTTCTCAGAGGCACCAAATATCTTTCTTTTTAATGTGAAACCTTTTCGGTGGTTCCAACTGTCTTTTTACTTCCCGAGCGTAGGCTAAGGAAGTATAGTAATCGAGTCCATTACTGAGAGTACGAAAAAAGTGGTCTCCCGGTTCCGTCTGTCTGTCTGTCCGTCTGTATCCATTTGTATTAGACAAGTAATCTCCGAAACTACTGGGCCGATTGTTGTCATATTTTGTTTGTACATTAGGAATGCCATGTAGATGGTTAAATACTAACTAAAATTTGGATAATTATCCCCACCACCAATGAGATGACGTCATTTCCAAAATTATAATAAACAGTTTTTTTTTTCAATTTGTTAAAACAAAATACTCCTGCACTTGTGGTGTGTGAATCCATGTCGAATTTTCACCCTAGACATCCAAAATTTTTGTAAAAAATTCAAAACTGAATAACTATTTTGCAGTATAAATTTGAAACTGCATACCGATTGTTCTGAAATCTTGTAAATATTTTAAGGTTATCATAATCATGGTAAATCCTTAAGCAAAATTTATTCATTATTTTGTTAATCCTAGCTTCATTTTTTTATACAGAATCTCTGTTTAATTGACTGTAAAAATAATTCTGCATTTATAGCACAGATAAACGTTATTACTGCATCTTTATTTTTTAATAACCCGTACATCGTATAAGTTTTATAATTAACTAACAGAGTGACTTGATTGATTGTGCTTCAGGGGCGTGGGAAGCTCTCCCTATAACAAACGCAGACCAATTTTTATTAACCCAAAAAAGTACATCACAGCCAGCACAGTCGCGTTACCTTCCACATATACATCCTTTTAAAAATCATAAATCAACAAACCCAAAACCCCGGCTTTTCCCCTTAATTACACTTTTTTCCCAGCGCCTCCCGTTATTTTCTCATTTTAGACCATCCCCGCCGGCCCTCCCGGCCTCGTCCCCGATAATTGTTCCAATATCCTTCGGAAAAACACCTCCGTTTCTATTTAAGACACCACAAAATAAAGTTCACTCCCTATCCAATTCCATTATCTTCCCCCGGCTGCTACTAGCAATATTCTTCGTGTGGAAGGGTCTTATCCTCACAGGATATTTCCGAGTTGCCATGACGCAGACTCTTCTCATGCTAACCTCTCGTGCTCCCCAGGGACGGCATCGAGGCGGCGCCAACGGTAACAGGACTACAGAAATGTACGCGCAAAACGTGCCGAAACCGTCCCGGCACTTTTTGGACCTCACGACCTCCACACTACGTGAGGAACAAAACGCGGAACCCACATATCGAATCCTGGAGCGAATTAGTCGTGGGCGTGCTTTTATTAAATAAGTTGGACTGGGGCAAATTAAACACTTTTACGTGTTGATTAATCGGCGGGGGCGGGGGCGGCGCTGTGGCGGCGGCAAGTCCACAGACGAGTTGATTGTAGGCGAAACGTGGGTGCTACGTAGGCAACCAACTTTACACTGCGGTTCACAACAAACCACAAGATATCTGACTCGCTCCTAATTTACTCACCATCGTGTAACGAAAATAAAAATTACAACCAACGTTTGTGGAAAACTCGGTTCCGATTGGTCACAAGAAATCTTTTTGCGAGCGGTATTTCAATTTCGGAATGCCGAAATATTTATCATTGCGTAGGCAAATAAGCAAGAAACGTCGGCAGTAACATCTTCGTATAATATAAAGTAGATAGCTGCGGTAATAAATACGGCGAACTCAATTTTCCGTGAGTGCAGAGTGAATGTAGGTGGGGGAGAGGTGATGTATCGCTCCGGGTTCAACTCCCGCACCCTATCCGGAATCCCGGACTTGAGTTCAGCTTTATACACCATCTGGCGTTGCCCGAAACCACTTTCGCACAACCGGAGCTTTGCAAATCCGAGCACGAAAATAAAGGCTGCGCGAAGATACGCCTTTAAACCGGCGACCGAGCAGATTATATTTTTAACAGTGTAAAAGACTGCAGGTGTGAGTCAAGGCGAGGTTTCCCATTAAATCCGGCGCTTTTTTCTCAATCCGTCAGTGATTTCGAGCAGTCGAAAAATAGAAAGACCAAAAAATATCCTCGGTTGAATTATGAGCCACTATCGAGCAAACACTGTAAACTACTTCCGCCTCTTCCGAGTCGTCTAAATGGATTATAAAAACAACTCCATTTTATGTGTTTTATCTGTTTCGAAGCGCGATAGTTCGCCACTTGACGACTTTTCGCGAAAGGTAATAGAATGAACCGACCTCGTAAAACTATCAAAGTCCTCGCCCTACATCGAAAGTTGTTTTGAGT